AGGCCTCAGTGAGGCAGAGAGGTACGGAGGTGGGGGAGCCGGAGGACGGGGTGGTGACGGCGACTCTTCGCAGCGCGTGTTCTGTGCCGGGCACGGTTCTGAATGTTTTGCACGAGCAAATGCAATCCTCGTAAAAGCCTGCGGGTAGATGCCATTATAGCCGTCATTTTAGGCCGGGCGCGGCGAGTCACGCCCGTGATGCCAGCACTTTGGGAGGCGGAGGCAAGAGGATTGGCCGAGCCCACGGGCTCGAGACCAGTCTGGGCAACATGGCGAGACGTCATCTCGACCATAAATCAACAAATTAGCCGGGCGTGGTGGCTCACACCTGTAATCGCAGCACGTGGGGAGGTGGAGGCGAGAGGATTGCCTGAGTCCAGGAGTTCCAGACCAGCCTGGACAACTTGGCCAGGCCTCGTCTCTACAATAAATCAAAAAATTTGCCGAGCAAGGTGGTGCGCGCCTGTAGTTCCAGCTACTTGGAAGGCTGAGGCAGAAGGATCGCCTGAGCCCAGCAGGTCGAGGCTGAGGTGGCCATAAGCGTGCCACTGCCCTCCAGCCTGGGTGACAGTGAGACTCCTACTCAAAAAAAAAAAATCATTTTGGAGACGAGAAAAATGAGGTGCCCTTTGCCATTAAGTAACTTGTCAAAGGTCACAGTCTTTGGGGAAGCTGGGATTTTTACTCTGGCAGTGAGTCACCCGAGGTGGGTCACGGGCTCTGGGTCGAGCCAGGGGACCTCAAGCCTTGGACAGGCACTATGCGTTCTCCTCTTACCTCTGCATGACTAGTAGAATAGGCCGGTGGTCTGCTGGGGAAAGGGTGGTCGGCTGGGTTCGATCCCTCACTCAGCCTGTGCCACCCCTCCCCAGGGTTGGCCCGCCCCCAACACGGTCTGGAGATGCACCCAGCCATAGCTTTGGGACCAGGCCCACCGAGACCGATTCGCTGCCCTGGACCTCGAACTCGATAGGATCACGGCTTCTGTTCCTTTCTCCTCCCCTCCTCTCTCCACCTGGGTTCAAAAATAAACCTCTAGACTGACCGCTGAGTTCTGGTGGAGGCCGTACATGGGCAAGGTGCAGGGTGGGGGACAGGAAGGGGTGGCTCACGGAGGGGCCTGGGACCAGGCCTAGTGTGGTGGGGCGATGGATTTCGGGCTGAGAGGGCCTGACTAGAGTCCGGGGACGGGAGCTCATACGTCCATATACACGTGTGCACACTCGGGTGGGGGAGACCAAAGGGCGTTTTGAGCTTCGTGTGGTGTCTCAAGCTTGGGAAGGCTGAGGCGGGAAGATCGCTGGAGCCCAGGAGTTCGAGGCTGCAGTGAGCTATGATCGCACCACGGCACTCCAGCCTGGGCAACAGAGCGAAATCATCTCTAAAAAGGGGGGTGGATGGGTGTGAGTTTACCATCTGCCTCTCGCCATGTTCACCAAGCCAGGCCTTCCCTGCGTTCCACTCCCATGGCCCAGACCCTTGCCCTGGATCCAGTCTCCTCACTGATCGGGTCTAGTCGAAAGCACCTTCAGGCCGGGTGCGGTGGCTGACGGCAGTGATCCCAGCATTTTGGGCCAGCAAAGCACTGTGATCTCTGTGATCCCAGCACAAGGCGAGAGGATTGCCTGAGTCCAGGAGTTCAAAACCAGCCTGGGCGGCTTGGTGAGGCCTCGTCTCTACAATAAATCAAAAAGTTAGCCGGGCGTGGCTGTGCGTGGCTGTGGTTCCAGCTACTTGGAAGTCTGAGGCGGGAGGACGGCCGGAGACCAGCAGGTCGAGGCTGCCGTGGCCGGGAGCGTGCCACTGCACTCCAGTCTGGAGGACGGAGTGAGACTCCAACTCAAAAAAAAAAATTTTTTTTTAATTAAAAAATAAAGCTCCTTCAACACCTCCTGCCTGAGCTTCCCCTCTCCTTCGCATAGACAAGTAGACAAGAGTGGGGACCACTAGCCCCAGTTTGCAATCGAGGAAACAGGTTCGCCAAGGCTAAATCACTCTTAAGGCCCAGAGCTACCCGACCCCAGGCCACGACGGGACGGCCGTCCTTAGGCCAGGACCTACTCCCCTGCGAGAGGCAGCGGTAGGAGTTTCGTGACTTAGACCAGGAACAGAGAGAGAGAACGCGATCCGAGGCGTCGGCCCCACGTTATGGGCGGGCTGCGTCAGTTTCCCCAGTGTGACCAAAGCGGCTGATCTCTTTCGCCCGCGAAGGCGGAGCCACGCCCCCAGCCGCTTCCGCCTTCGCGCGGTGTTTTCTGGCCTCAGCGGCCCCCGTAGGCCCGCCCTCCCGGAAACGGCCCCAGAGCGCCGCCGTCCCCCTGGCCGGCATGAAGCCACCGCAGCGGCGGCGAGCGGCCCCGGCGCGCTATCTGGACGAGGTGACCGGCCCTACGGCCTGGAACGCCCGCGAGAAGCGGCAGCTACTGCGCCTCCTGCAGGCACGGCAAGGCCAGCCGGAGCCGGACGCCGCCGAGCTGGCCCGGGAGCTGCCGAGCCGGAGCAAGGACGAGGTTAGGAGCGGGTCCCGGAGCGGGAGCGGGAGCGCGGCGAGAGGCGGGGCCG